GCTCAGTGCAGCAGTGGCAGGGGAAGAGTAGCGCGCAACTACAGCGTCGTATAAGGTGTGAGCACTCTTGTACTGACTAAAGTGCGCGCGCTCAGTGGTAGGCAGGTGGCGACGCACAGCAAGACGTGCAGCAGCATCGCGCGTGGCCCACTGGGAGCGAACAGTGGGGTCAGCATCAGCAGCAGGGGCAGGAGAGGCGCCAGAGTCGAGGTCAAAGAGGGAGAGACCGTCTGCCCTATCGCTCTGTAAGAAGAGCTGCAGGTCATCTACCCAAACCTCAAAGTCAATAGCTCGACCCTCTGCGTCAAAAGCGAGAACACTAGGGGAAGCCATGACAGCAGTAGACTAGCGAGACCAACTGTAGGACAGGGGCAGTGCAGTGACAGAAGCTCTGGTCTCACCAGACAGGGCAAGTCGGGCAGCTCAGTAGTGCAGTAACCCGGCAACATGGCTGCTCGGACGGCACAGTAGCGACTGCGGCTCCGCGGCACCGGCGACTCGGCTGATCAGGCGGCTCGGGCGGCTCGGGCGGCTCGGGCGGCTCGGGCGGCTCGGGTGGCTCAGGCGGCTCGGGCGGCTCGGGCGACTCGGGCGGCTCGGGTGTCTCGGTCGGCTCGGGCGGCTCGGGCGGCTCGGGCTGTTCTTGCAGCTCGGGCGGCACGGGCGGTGTAGGGCGGCAGGGCCGCTGGTGAACAGTGGTGGGGCCGCTGAGTAGGGCGGCGGGGCCGCAGGAGTAGGGCGGCGGGGCCGCAGGAGTAGGGCGGCGGGTCCGCAGGAGTAGGGCGGCGGGGCCGCAGGAGTAGGGCGGCGGGGCCGGTGTAGAAGGGCGGCGAGGCCGCTGAGCAGGGCGGCGGGGCCGCGAGGTAGGGCGACGGGGCCGCGAGGTAGAGCGGCGGGGCCGCGAGGTAGGGCGGCGGTGCCGCGAGGTAGGGCGGCGGGGCCGAGAGGTAGGGCGGCGGGGCCGCGAGGTAGGGCGGCGGGGCCGCGAGGTAGGGCGGCGGGGCCGCGAGGTAGGGCGACGGGGCCGCGAGGTAGGGCGGCGGGGCCGCGAGGTAGGGCGGCGGGGCCGCGAGGTAGGGCGGCGGGGCCGCGAGGTAGGGCGGCAGGGCCGCGAGGTAGGGCGGCGGGGCCGCGAGGTAGGGCGGCGGGGCCGCGAGGTAGGGCGGCGGGGCCGCGACGACCGGCGGCGGGACCGAAGCGGCGGGCGGCGGGGCCGAGGCGACGTGCGGCGGGGCCGCTAGGGGAAAGGGCCGCTAGGGCGGCTCGACGAAGTGCGACTCGGGCGGAGCGCGCTTCGGGCAGGAAAAAAAAAGGTCGATGTGGTGGGCCCTAGGCACAGTTCCCACGGGGGAACCTGCTTGATACCTTGAGAAAATGTGAACGAGAATGAATGAACTATGAAACAGTTGGGTACAAGTACTAACCCTAATTGGGTTGTACCCCATATGGGCTACCCCACTACAGCCTACACAAAAGCATAAGTTATAATGTGCTGACATTTCCGACACGAATGCTGATGCAGAGGATGCCATTGCGAATAGCGGGAGTTGTACTAAGAAGGCGCGCACACGATGGGTGTTGTGTGCCAGAAATAGAGAAGTTTGAAATCGTGTGCTGACACTAAAAGTTGTGCCGCGCAAGGGATTCAGTATTGCATGACGCGTTATAACATTGTCACGAAGAATCTGAAAACGTTCAACTAATATGATGGGTCATCCTAAACCCTTCAAAGTTGTGGAACAAGATGCAGCCAGTTGCGTCGTAACAAATATCCGTTACAGGCACGGTGAGCTGGCAACGGCTACAGAACCAGGCTTGGCACACTGGATAAGTCATCCCTAAATAAGTCATCGCACGCTGGAGATGTCACACGAAGTCGTGTCCTAGCGATTCTATACCTTAGTATCTAGATATTAGCGACCGCTGGCCTGTTTCACGTGTCAGGGGCCTCAAATACCACGTGCCGCAATAATTGACATCTCGGGTCCTAATTATGTTGCACCTTAGTACCTAGATATTACCCCTGGCTGACCTGTTACCCTTGCTAGGAGCCTCATAAACAACGGCACGGTGCCGCAATATCAGAAATCTCGGGTTAGAGCCAGACTGGTGGATCGCACGTGACTGACGGTGGCAGAGCTGATGTGTCCGGACTTTATAAGGCTTCGAGGCGCGCACAATAGCTGCAAGGTTATCTCGTCACAATGGAGAGAAAAACTCTGACCGAGTTGTGCGTTTCCGACACTATAACAGTCGCCTCATCTGAGCGGCATTCCGTAGAACACAGCACGAGAGACGCGGTGCTGCAATGCCTCCCATATCATACCTGTTCGCCTGTGAATGGTGTCTCGAGCACTTCACACAACGCGGCGCGCTTGTGGCGCACAAGCTCCACAGCGATGACTGCCGACTGGAATGCAGGCGGCGCCTTCGTTACCTTGCCCAGCATCCCGACGCCGACATTAATGACCTTTTTGGTGATGCATTTGATAATGTGATGGGCGATGCGACCACTGAAGTAGAAGATCCGGATCAGCACACAGAGGTAAGGAGAAATTTTATGGCAATTTGCCTGCCTGTTTAGGGCTTGTTGCAATGCAGTACATCACAAGTAGCCTCATCCATTCTCAATAATCTCTTGGTCGGCGCAGGGCATTGATGCCCAACACCCTGGCAGAAGTGGCAGCGACGACGACGTGGAGACAGACGAATGGGCAAGTGACGACAGCGACTATGACAACGAAGCTTCTTCGGAAAGCGACGATGATGCCAGCAGTGTAGACGATGTCGATTTCGACACAGCCTTGGAGTTCTTCCACTTCGTCGTTGGGTGCAACGGCGGTGAGGGCCTCAGCGACAAGTGCACTGCCTGGCTTTTCAAGATCTTGCGCGACCCACGTCTAGATCTCGCCGCCATTCGCTGCTGGGGGACCAAACGCGCCGTCCTCCAGTATGGTCTCCGGCTCATGATGGCTAGGCGTGTTTACAGGACCGAGGAAGTGCACATTCAGGGGGTCGACCACACCTTCGAGCTGATGTTGACAAGCGTTATTGAGGTACGTTCACACCTTCTACCCGTGGCGTGTTTCTGTCGTAACAGATCGTCACTAAACAATCCCTAATCCATGGCGCAGGGAGCATTGGAGCTGTTTGGACACCCTGACAACGCTGAGGGCTTCCAGCTCTTTGCACCCCCGTTGAACTCGGCGATGGGACGCGTCTACACCAGGCCTGAGACTGGCATTTTATGGGAAGTCGTTCAGGTGAGGATGCGGGCTCTATCCAGCTGGCCCACTCGCATTTGATGTTATGTACTGTCTTCCGTATGAGTACTGCGCGCCGAGTCGTTATGATTGGCTATGCCAAACGTACGTTTGCACTTGATCTGCCTGCTCGGTGGCGGGCTCAGTTGCGCCAACATGTGATGTTTGCTCTTCTCCGACCTGATGTTCCCACTGTAGGCTGCCCTAGATGCGCTCCATGGCGAGGGCTAGGTGGTGGCCCCCATCATCATTTCAAGCGACGCCACGATTCTCAGCGGGAACGAGCGTGTGAATGTGTGGGCGGTGTACCTGAGTCTCGCAAACATCCACCTCCGCCTCCGTTGGGGGGATCTGGCAAGATCCTGCTTGCCTTACTCCCGATGCCTATCCAGGGTATGACGGCCGAGCAGAAGGTGCAGCTTTTCCAAGCCGCGATGCAGATAGTTCTGGGAGACTTGATTGTCGCATCACACACGTGAGTGCATCTTTAGCCTTCCGCCCGCACTGAAGTGTGTTACGCCGGCCTCTGCCCTTACCTCCTGATGCTCTTACGTACCTATTCTCTTACCTGCCAAAGCCCTTACCTGTCTCTGCCTGCGCCTAGGGCGACCCATACATTTTTTTTTGTGCCCGCACCTGCATCCTTCCTTCAATGTTATGCTCCTGGTGTCCGCATCCCTTACCGTTGAGACGTGCTTCTTTCCGCAGTGTACTGTCTCAATTTGGTCAGTCCAAACCTCATGTCCTTACCTGTCCTCAGGACACGTTGTTACCTGTATATGTCCATACTTTCCACAGTCCGGACGTCCCTATTGTGGCCCCTGACTATGCCGTTACTTGCATCTGCCCGCACAAGCCTGGCCGCACCTGCCTCTGTCGTTTCCTCCTTTAAATGCAAGTGCCGATTCCAGCACTGGCATACAGACCGCTCGTGCTAAGCCAACACCGTGTATAACTCTGTGCTGCTCCGATCACAGACGGATTGCGGCGCGCGATCCATGGGGGGTCGACCGGGTCATCTGGCCCATTCTCTTTTCCTACGTCGCGGACTTCCCCGAGACCTGCAAGGTCTCCTGCACTCAACAGCATGGCAGTGCTATGCCGTGCTCCCTGTGCTATGTGGATTGGGGGCAGCTTAAGTACATGACGGCGGGACCATCGGAGCCTCGCTCTGTGGATCAGCAGTCCTCTCTGCTTCACAGCCCGTGGCTCGCAAGAACGTGCTCCACTCTCTGTATCCCGGTAGGTGCATCTCAGGATGTCTTCACACCGTCCGCACATCACTAGCTACGCACTATCGGACAGTAAGGCCAGCGTTGACGCGCTTGTTTTTGGCACACCTATTGCCTATGAATGCACAAAGCTGTGTCAGCACGGGCCATTATTCCCACCGTTCCACTCATAGACTCGGAAAGCCCCTGGTACGGTCACCACCCTCCACTTGGTGCACTTGTACATCATCCACACTTGAGCTCAGCAGCACTCGCGCTCATACGCACCTGCCATCATCCTCACTTGCGCCCCTATCTGTAATCAACCTCCCTCTTTTTCCCCCTTGATGCAGTCGTTTCTTTGGGAGTGGAATTTCTCCCGGACTCTATGGGGCAACACGTACCTGTCGCAGATGCCTGACATCCTGCACATTATCTACCTGGGCTTCTGGCTGTACCTCCGCGTTGCACTGCGCGGACCCGATGGACGCGCCGCCACTCTTGACGGGTACGTAACACCCATATCATGCGGCGGTTTATGACTAGCCACCTTGCACGTGCCTGTCCCGTGTTCTCGACCCGAGACCCCTGCTTACTTGTGGTACGCTTTGAATTCCACGGCGGTATGTTAATATTCTCGTGTCGTTTCAATTCTGCAGGCGCCAGAATGCACTACACCTAGAGGCCAGGCAGGCGGGTCTGATCACTCCAACTGATGCGGCATATTGGGTCTCTGGTGCGAACTTCACGGCGTCAGAGCACGCGGGTGTCATGATGGTGCGTATGAACAGCCACGCACGTGTGGGGTGTCTGACCACACCCTCGTACTGCACGTAATCCCACCTCATCCGTGTCACCTATGCTCCATGCCTGTGTGGAACGTGGCAGATCGTGCCCTTTGTACTGGAGGGCGAGGTTTCGGTCATCAGCAGCCGCACTATCGTCGCGTTTCTGGACTGGCATGAGACTTATGTGCGGGCAGCGAAGCACACAGACGAGAGCCTGAGTGCGTTCGACACTGCCACACGAAGGTAAGCTTCTGACCTGGTGGGTGGCTGATTGGATGTGCGCACGATTGCCCATGTGATTGGTCTCTGTTCCATCTGTTGTAGATGCCAACTATAATAACATTTTACCCACGGCTTCCTTCCTTGCAGGATGGTGCAGCTAGTGGAGAGCACCTTCCCACGCGATCACTCTGGGTGGAACTTAGTGAAGGTCCACCTGCTGCTCCACCTTACGGAGGCGATTCGACGGGGGGGGGCTTCCCCGAGAGTACTCTGCTGCAGTTTACGAGAACGCGCACATCCGCACCTGCAAGAGGCCGTATCGGGCATCCAACCACCGGGACCTGCGGCGGGTGATCGCACAGCACAACACCATTCAAGCGCTTATGACCCGCCTCCCTACCAACCTCGAGGGAGATCGGAAGTACAACACGGCGTTGCGCTGGGTATGTACTGCTAGCCAACTGTTCTCCACGTGGTGTTGTTATTATGGTTGGCAATGGCTGTCAATGGCATTGGATGCAGTAGGTTTCATTGTAACATGCGTACATATGTAACCTCTAACCACTTGCCTTCCCACCCCTCCTGTGGCATGTGCCAGGCCATAGCTGCTGGTGTGCCCCAGCTGTGCCGCCAGCACTCTAGGATGCACAGCGCGATCAGTGACAGGGAGCAGGCGCCACTGGACCTGTATGCAACATACGACGCCGCGATCCCTGGAGGCATCGGGCCCTATGCTTACCTAGCAAGACTCTACGGCTACATCGCTTTCCCAGCATGGGTAAGGCCAGCAGTTTGCTGGAGCTTTCTCTACATAGAACATGTCCATGAAGCCATACTTTCCACCCAACACTGCCATGCCGGTTCCCCAAGTGCGATCCCAGTGCTGTCCCTAACGCTTCTGCATGCCCGGGGTGGTAAACTCGCTATCTCTAACGTGTCTATGTCGTATCTTGACTCTGCCCTTGTTGACATGCAACCCACCGGTGCTCATGTGCAGATTAGTTTTTAGGTCATTCTAGATTTCATGCTCTGCCTCTCTCTGCCCTAATACCGGTCATTTCCCCCGCATGTTACCACGGCCTTGCCCTCGTGCTGCCTCTTGCTGTCCACCTGTTAAACCGTTGTCCATGCAGGTCCACACCGCACTCGCCCTCCCCGCCAGCGAGATGGACTACACCCCGATCAGGCCCCACTACGCCCGAGCATCCGCCTCGCACCATGGCGTACCTGCGTTCTCATTCATTGAGTATGAGAACGGGAGCGGGGAGACGGTGTATGGCCGCGTGCACCTCCTTCTGACGCTGACGAATAACAGCGAGGACGCTGACCCCGCGGGAGAGGAGGTGGCATTTGTGAGGCAGTGGTACCCCTCACAGGTGGACGAGTGCACGGGGTGCATGAGGATGCGTCCGTCCGACGACGAGCTAAGCTATGACTTTGTGCCGGTCATAGCTGTGCAGAGGACCGTGCACATGGTGGAGTCGTTTGTGACTCCTGAACTCTGGTACCTGAACAAGTGGGCGAATCGTTGCCGCGAAGAGATGCGTTGAGGCCTCTCAGACTCTCAATGGGGGTGGCACGAGGCCGAGGTGCGCACGGAGATGGATAGTGTTAGGCACCCGCACATCCTACACGAGTACTTTATGGAGCTTAAAGGCGGAGATGTAGTTTGACGCATGTGTATAATATCTGCAACCCCCTGAACCCTGTAGTTTGTGGCATGTAGCATCTCTCTCTGACCTCTGGTGCTGTAATGCTGGTATTTTCACTCCCTATTTTCTGTTATTTGATGGTACTTTCTGTTTAAAGTTGCTGGTGTAGTAGTTGATGCAAAATACACTCTGAGACAATTATATGCAACAGCAAATAAGTTTCTACGGCTAACCCCTCAGGGCCCGCTGTGAGTGGTGCACAGTCCTAGGGGGGACACAATGTGGAAGGGGATGCATTGGTGGTGAACACAATGACTAAGCATCGGAACTCCTCTTCTCGAAAAGAATGCTAGGTGATTCGCGGAGCAGTCCTAGGGCCTTCGCTTCCGCGCATGGTTGTTGGAAACGCCTGATGTCGGAGGCATTTGGACTTGGGCGTTCTCTTTTTTTTTACAGTCCGCCGGTTCCGCCGGCGGTCAGAGCGGAGGTCCTGGCGTAATTTTCGGCGGTCCCGGCGGTCGCGGCGGTTCCGGCGGTCCTGGTAGGCCTGACGGAAAGCCGCCGCACGGTCCTCCGCTGAACCTAACGGCCGTCGGGAATCTGACGGCCGATGTTGGCGCGCAGCTCGCCAACTGCACCGTGGATCAGAAGACCCTTAGCGGCAGCTTCCACCTCGCCGTCTTCAAGAACGCGAGCGGAAATTACAATCTTCTGGTCGAGGCGGTGCTGGTGGACGCGGCGGGCGGTCCGCCCGACTCGTTGGCGATGGTGAAGGGCACTGTGTGCGACGCCGCCGCGACGGTCGTGCTCGCGCTGCCACTCGCCGCGGCGGACTGGCAGCAGCGCGCGGGGTGGTGGCTGCTGCACGCCGGAGGCGCGCCTCGACGCGTTCCTCGAGAACACGGATGCCGCCACCCTCGACGCGCTGCTCGCCGTGCTCCCCACCGCCTCGCCTCCGCCCACCAGCGGCGGCGGCGGGCGCAACGGCGGAGGCAGCGCGGGGGGCGCACGGAACGGGCAGGGCGGGAGGCGCATGGGGCGGGAGCTGCTGATGCGCGCATTCGGCCGCGCTGCCAGGCCGGGGGGTCAGAAGGAAGGGGGGCAGCAGCAGGGGGGACAGTAGCAGGGGGGAGCACAGCAGGCGCCTGCAGTGAGCGGGTATGCTGTGCTGGCGGGCATCAACGCAGCAGGTGTGACGTGGGGCGGGCAGCTCATGGGCGCCAAGATGCCCGCCGCTTCTGCCGCTGGTGGTGCTTGATGCATCATGTCACTGTGGGTCTTGTCAGTGGGGGCCAAGACGCCCGCCGCTTCTGCCGCTGGTGCTGCTTGGTAAAGCGATGGTTTGACAGTCATTGCTAGTGCTGCTCTACTGGATTGGAGGGGCTGAATTCAGCCTGTTGCAAGCAGTAGTTGTGGTTCTGATGGGCTTGAGTTGAGGGCAATTTAGCTGTGTGTGTCTGCAGAGGCATGATCGGATCTCCTCTGGTTCATGATGGTTGGAGTAGCTATATTAGGCCAAAGCATCAGGGGCAGGAATGCTGGCAAGGCATCAGGGAACACCACCAGCTGACTTGCCAGTCTTCCTACCCCTGATTGTTCTTTTGAGCTTACTCTGTGATTAGAGTCTACTTGTGTTATTATCTGTTTCAGACTTTTGTGTCAGACTTTTTTCTAGAAAGCACTAACCTCCACATGAAGTTTTATCTTCTGAGTTCCAGTCCAAGCTAAAAATTTGCTCTGTTGAATAAGGAGTAAGCAGAAGACACTAAAACGAATCGGAATGGGAAGTGTGTGCAGAAAACACTAAAACGAATCGGAATGGGATGTGTGTGCGGCATTGGCCGCAGTGGCTCGATGTGTCGAGCTTCGCGTCGTGTCGCGTCGCGTTTCAAGCCTCGAACTAACTTCAGACAGCTCGGGTGCTTTAGCTTCGAAATGCGTCGTTTTTCCGCACCCGTTTTCGTCTCACTTGCCGACACTAGCAGTTTCAGGCCTCGTTCAGAAGGCACGTAACATTCACGAGATACAACCTAGCACTTAGGTCGTCAGCAGCGAGACACGTACATTTCCGATACCGTAGTAGGCATCGATATAGCAAAACTAGCAATTTCAGGCCTCGTACATTTTCGTGTGCTTGATCCCAGCCCGCCGCGGTCCTGTTCGTGTACCAGATCAGCTTGTAGCGGGAAACCTACATCGCACGAAGAAATGTGGCTTCCAGCAATTAGCTGGAAGCCTTCCTGGTGACTCCCGTTTTCGGGAGTCCTGTCAATCTGCTTTCAATACTGGGGGGTAATTGTGGGGCAACAGAACCACCCTGCAGTCAACCTGCGCACTGCCGAAACCAACCTGCGAGGCGATTGAAATGTGTAAGTTGCGCATTGCATGTCAGTTGGGGCGAGTAATCTAGTTTGTTACTTTCGGAAACGAAAAGAAGGCCCTCGCACAGGCGAGAATTGACAAGTTCAGTTGTAACCACTCGCGTAACAAAATTGTTAAAGTTGGTTACCGCGTGATAACAATATGCGTATGTATAATACGATAAAGAAAAGTTTAGTGGATATTTGTTCCTATTGGAGATGTGACAAGGCGACATTTAATAGAGATATCTACACTGCTAAAATTATGATCAAAAGAATTTCGAATAGGCTGTCAGAATCCCAACCACTAGACCATTGGGATAAAAGGGCTTGTTAAGTAGCGGGTCAGTGCGCCCATAACCCCCTAGGACAACGAGCCTGTAACCCTTCCGTAGGATCAATCGGGGATCACCAGTGGACCTCTGACACCCCCCCGCACTGGGATGCCCGAAGTGCATACACCGAGATTCGAACCCGAGACCTTCGCTCTGATACCATGTCAGAATCCCAACCACTAGACCATTGGGATAAAAGGGCTTGTTAAGTAGCGGGTCAGTGCGCCCATAACCCCCAAGGACAACGAGCCTATAACCCTTCCGTAGGATCAATCGGGGATCACCAGTGGACCTCTGACATAGGTTTATTATCAACAAATCAAAACAATTCCCTAATTATAATTAACTATTATTAAACGCTTACAATAGTAATTGGTTAGAAATTAATCACCAGAATGTCACATACTAAACCTACAAATGCACTACAGCTACATAAAGCTACTAAACATCCTCTACAATCTGCCAATCCTTAATGTGAGGATCTGGGATCGAGCTCAGAAAAGATGATTCAAATTGAATTGAATGTCCACCTGGGTACAACACGAGGCTATATATAGGCTCGACACAAGGCCCCGTAACCAGGTGTTACGCGAAGGTTCCGCGGGTCGCAAAGCGTCCCGAACAGATCCTTACCGAATTCGGTAGAAGGCAATTCGGTGGCAATCGAAAAGCCAGAATTCGGTGCACGCAACCTAGCTCGGTGCTATAACTATAATAAAATATAGGAAAGAACCTAGCCTAGGAAATCAAGCAATTCATGCATGCATATGATTATCCTATGCTAGAAATAGCATGATAAAATAAAGGCAAGCAAGCATAGCTGGCATAAGCCGTCGTACTCTCACACGTCCCCCCCTCAAAGCTGGGTGGCGTGAGATACACCCTGCTTGACAAGATAGTCCTTGAGAGCACGGCGTGCATTGCCCATATCAGCTTCTGCAACCCAACTGTCCTCAGTGGGGTTGTATCCCTTCCAGCGTATCAGGAACTCGAGGGTCTTGCCGCCGCGGCACCGATGAGAGAGAACGCGCTTGATCTCGTACTTGGGTTCATCCTGTATAAGAACAGGTGGAGGTGGCGGTAGCTGTCGTCCCTTGAACTGTTGGTTGGGGTCCTTGTAGGGCTTCAGTAGCTGGACATGGAAAGCGTTGTGAAGCTTCCATGTATCTGGTAAGCGCAAGCGGAATGTAACTGGTGTCACCTGTGCCTCAACGAGAAAAGGACCACAGAAGCGAGGCCGGAGTTTGGATGGGAGGTGAGACAGGTTCAAGTTGCGCGTGTCAAGAAGCACCTGATCTCCGACTGCTACTGAGTGATCACGTCGCTGACGATTGGCATACTGCTTCTGGGAGTTCTGCATCGTGGTGAGACGTCGCTGAGTCTTCTCCCATAGCTGCTGCATGGTGGTGACGAAGTGATGTGCGGCTTGGACGTATGCCGGTGTGGTTGGCTGTGACTTCAGGTATTTGAGACTACAGTGGTCAGTATAGACTGTAGTCTTGGCTCCCTCTAGGTAACACCTCCACGCCTTGAAGGCTATGACTATCGCTAAGGCTTCCTTGTCGTGAATGGGGTAGTTTAGTTCTGCTCTGTGTGAGGGGTTCCCAAGTGTGAGGGGTTCCCATCCGTAACACACGAAGAAAGGAGTTTTTCCTATGGCCGCATGTGATGCGTTGTTGTAAGCGAACTCTAGGGTCGGTAACTGTGTGTCCCAGTGGGTCCACGTGTACGTCCTCGGCACTCACCATGTGCCCGAGAAACTGCACCTTCTTCAGGGCGAAGTCGCTCTTTGACACCTTCACGTAGAACTTGTTTTTCCGCAGGATCTCGAACACCTTCCGCAGATGCTCCACGTGCTCCTTCATGTTCTTGGAGTAGATGAGAATGTCGTCCAGGTACACCACCACGCACTCGTCCAGCAAGGGTCGTAAGATGTGATTCATCTCCGCCTGAAACGTTGCTGGTGCGTTGCAGAGTCCGAACGGCATCACCAAGTATTCGTAGGAGCCGTATCTGGTACGGAACGCTGTCTTGTGGACGGAGTTGTCTGCCATCTTGATCTGCCAGTAGCCCGATCGTAGGTCCAGCTTCGAAAATACTGTTGCTCCACGCAGTTGATCGAGTAGGTTGTCTATGCGCGGTATGGGATATTTGTTTTTTACTGTCTGTTTGTTCAGTGCGCGGTAGTCGATGCACATCCGTAAACTACCGTCTGGCTTTGGAGTGAAGAGAACAGGTGCACCATAGGGAGAGGTGGATGGGCGGATCAGTTGTCTGTCTAGTAGATACTCTATCTGTTTTTCATGTCTGTCAGTTCAGTCGGACTCAGTCGCTATGGTGCACGTGAGACGGGTTTCGCACCTGGTTCCTCCACGATCTCGTGCTCGTGGGTGCGTGCTGGAGATACGCCTGTGGGTAGGTCGTCGGGCATTATATCCTTGTACTGCTCCAAGACCTCCTCCTCTGCTGCTGCTATAACCAGTGCTAAGTAACCCGTGTTACTCTCGTTCACTGTCCGTTCAAACCGTGCCAGTGTTGTTTCAGGAACGCTCCCTGTATCCGTCAAGCTTCGCAGCTCCACTCGTTTCCCGTTGTTGTAGATGCACATTTTCTGGTTGACCCAGTCGATCTTTGGGTTGAACCGCTTCAGAAAATCGTGCCCCAAGATGAAATCTAATCCCTTGATGTTCGTGATCGGCAACGTCGGCTTCCACCTCAACGCCCCTATCTGCAGCTGCAATGTTGACTTTCCGTGGATGGGAAGCTTCGTACCGTCCACCATCGTTGCTGTAAACTGGGTTTCCTCTTAGGATTCTCCAATTTTCTCCAACGTCCCGTGGTCGCACACCGAGTGGGACGTACCACTGTCCACCAGGGCCTGGAGGCGACGCCCGTTGCAGATCACCTCGAGTACTAGTGGTTGCTGTTGCTCCGAGTATCCGTAGATGGTATCGCTTATAGGATCGTAGGGTACGTCCAATATGTTATCCCTAGGTCCTGCGCTCAAAGATGCAGCTTCAGTATCAGTTTTCAACTGAGAAAGGTTAGAAGGATTTATCCGAGGCCGATTCGGCTTCTCTTGGGCCTGGAACCTTCCACTATGTGAGAGTACGACGGCTTATGCCAGCTATGTTTGCTTGCCTTTACTTTTATCATGCTATTTCTAGCATAGGATATTTATATGCATGCATGAATTGCTTGATTTCCTAGGCTAGGTGCTTTCCTATATTTTATTATAGTTATAGCACCGAGCTAGGTTGCGTGCACCGAATTCTGGCTTTTCGGTTGCCATCGAATTGCCTTCTACCGAATTTGGTAAGGATCTGTTTGGGACGCTTCGCGACCCGCGGAACCTTCGCGTGACACCTGGTTACGGGGCCTTGTGTCGAGCCTATATATAGCCTCGTGTTGTACCCAGGTGGACATTCAATTCAATTCAATTCAATTCAATTTGAATCATCTTTTCTGAGCTCGATCCTAGATCCTCACACTTGGTAATCAGAGCGGGTTTACACGCGAGGTCTTCAACCGCTTAGTTCCGGCCCTTAAAAACAGCGGGGGCGACGACGAAAGCGCCGATACGGGTATGTAAAACCAGTTCCGCGCAATTTTTCTAAGTCCCCCTCGATTCGGTTTTCGAACACCCCTCAGATTTACTGGTGGA